CATATGTGCCATGATTTAATTGAAGCGAAATTGTTCGAATTAATTATAAGATTTATTACTATATTTTTATCAGGTACTTTAAGAAGGACATGCATATGTTTTAGTGTAAGACATCACCGTGAATGCTTTTACAAATAGTTCATAATAGTTGATTTCTACAATTGTTCATATACCAATGTGTATAAATATGAGTAAAATTCATTTATAACTTTTGAAATCTTCATCTATTTTTGGTATCAAAGCAAATCACCGAGAAGAACGAGAGCAGTATGCGTTGGTGCAATTAATTTTTCGTGGTGCAATTCCCATTTTGTGGTGCAAAAACGACTTTCAAAATAGTGTTGACTGACCCATTTAAAATTCTAACAATATCAGCAAGCATGCTATCAGCACCAATTCTTTGATTTTGTTGATCAGTAGATGTTCTTGGTCGTCTTTGATGTGGTTTTCTCTCCAACGTGCTCTCGACCTTCTTTGAACAATTTGTGCCAATCAAAAACACTTGCCCTTGATATTAACTCTTCACTAAAGGTCTTTTGCAACTTATTTAAAACCTTTAAAATGAGCAGCGGCATCCGAGAGAAAAGGGATAATTTTTTTCTTGTTCAAGAGAAGCGTAACTTCTACACCAATAAACCAATTGGCGTCAAATTTATCACAGATGACAATAAAAGTGCTACTAACTTTTAAATTGAAAAAAAAAACATTTTCCGAATCTACAATCCTGGAAGGTTCAAATTGAAAAGTCTTACCCATATTTTTATACAGTATTTTATACAGTAGTAAACCTGCATATACATATGCATATACAATCATTTATCTCAAAATCCAATAATATATATTTGCTTGTGTAAATACGAAATACTGCCACTAAATTGACGCCAATCAGCAATTTCAGCAATCTGATAAATATTTAGAAATCGAAACCACTTTCAGATGGTGAGTTTTATGTGTTCTCAAATGTGGATATATTACAATTTTTATTATTAATTTTTGGTGAACTTTTCGTATTCGATTGCAACATATAATTGCATAGTAGATACTAATTTGTACCTGGTTGGTTTTAAAAACTTGGCATTTCTTAGACAGTATCGTTACTGAAATTCAAATTGAACATTTGTGCCTCACCATACCCTATATGTATTAGTACAAATTTTATCTCTATGATCCAGAAAGGATAAACTAATATCAAACATTTTGTCATATCTACAATGCAGATATCAGAGATTTTATAATCAAAATATATTCTGTGTAATCTATAAGATGGCTTTAAATGATCTTTTGACAAGATAAACTTATAAAGTCTATTATAAGGCTCAACAACTTTAACAACTGGATACATAAAAATTTTATTTAATTTGAACCTTTGGCTTTGAACAATGTTTTCTAAAATGTTTCACACTGAGACTCTCCAACTGGAAATATCGTAGTGTAATATCACGAACAAACAGTTATGAAAAGTGCATGTTTGCATGCAAGCTTTTGCTTTTAGTTTTGTAAAGCTAACAAGACGAAAAAAATATTTGCGGAAAGATGCGATGTTCTGCTTGTTTCTGTTTACTTTTTCGCACTGGCTGATTCAATTTATTTCGTGTTGCATACTTTTAGTTTGTATTGGATAAATGAAGCAAAATCCATAAACAATAACAAGAAACTAATTTGAAAAATTATCATCAATTTTAGTGTCTGTCCAATATATAATATTTTCGCGAAAATTAAGTATTCTTTGTGAAAAGAATAATATTTTTTGTCAGAAGAGATGAAAAAATAGTATTGATATTTCTATAAATAATTATCAAAGTTTGTTGTCAAAATTAATAATTTGAGTAAATATATTATTTATCGGGAAGTTTCATTATTAATTTATAATGAAGCAAATTTCATCGTGTATTTTAGTTGTAAAACAATGTTTCTTAAAATTTGTAATCATTAAAGTTACGGAACAATTGTAAGTCACAAATGTTCTTTAATTTAAGTAATTGGCCTGCTGAAATATATGTATGTTTAGTATTCAATTTTGCTCAATATTTCTGATGAAATTAAATTAAAGTTTTCCCATAAGATCTATAAATAACTCGATTTAAACAGTCGCGTGGTAAAGTAGCAGAGAAAATTGCATAACTATCATTAATATTTAGAAATATTACAGCACAGGCTTTATATAGCCCCTAATTTATCTGCAATTTTAGAGAATGGAATTGAAAACAGCAAAACAAATTGTATTCATCAATATAAATTACCCTTCGCCTTGTGACTTTAACCTTAATGTTATCGATTTTCTGGAAACTTGATTTACTCAATCTTGAATATTTGTGGTTTCTTTTACCTGGAAATTTAATTTATTGCTTCAAAACTGTAAATTTGATTGATTTGTTTTGTTCTGCCTAATAATAATTAAATAATTTGATAACCATCACAAACCGATGCAAGTGATTGTTTTGTTATGTTTTAAATTTCCTAGAAAAATAGTAACAAATAAAATAAACAAAAGTAATATACGTATCAATATTGAATTATTGTATGAAAAAATAACTGCACATAAATATATATATATATAATATATCATAAACTACAAATTTACAAGTAATAAATAATAAAATTATCATTTGCTCATTAGATATTTATGTGCCATACTCACGGTGTTTACTAACTTACTTTTACCCTTTTTGTGCCAATTGTATCAATGTCAAAAACTATTGAAGTAAAATATGTTATACACTGATAATGTCATATAAACTTGGACGGAGTACAATACCCTACCTAGGGTAATATACTCAAGTAATTAAATGTATTGTACATTTTTGCCTGTCAAAAAAAAACTTTGCCATTACTTATGTCTACATTAGATGTTATAATTACCCTACTGTATCATAACTTTTTTTACATTTTCTGAGAATATAGTCTTCATGATCATCAGAATGGCAACCTATGTACATATCTGTAGACATAAATACTTCAGCGAAGTTTGTCTTGCCTATAAAAATATTTTCAGTCGTAATTACTTTAAATATATAAAGAAGTACCTTAAGTATATAAAAAACACCACGACATCTTTGGATTTTTTATTTGTTTTCTTTATTATAATTATTTACGAGGTTTGGCCAATAGCAAATCAGCATTTGTAGCTTAATCCGTCATAGTTTAAAATTTGAAAATTATTTAATGTTACAATGAGTAAAAATTATTTTATACATTATGCATTATATACGCTGATTTCAATTATACCTTCAAAGTAATAAAATTTATAAATTGGCTTAATTGAATTTTGTATTTTTGTGCATGTAACAGACGGTTTTTCATTGAAAACTTTAACATGTTTAATTATTTATCTCGAACAGTTCAATTATCTGACTAAAATTTCTGTGTCTATTATCCTTTCTTGGCCAATATTTAAAACCTTTCTTGACTAATTTTTTACCATTAACGATAGTATTGTACATTTTATTTATTACTAATTGTTGTATAATATAGATATATTAGAGTACATTAAATTAGTTATGTTAATTTCGACGTACATGTATTTTGAATTTCATTAAAACGAAAATTATTTAAGTTTTCAAAATTAGCTTTATTGAACTTTGATATATTCAAGCTTTTAACAACCAATTTTCAAGTAAAAACTCTTGAACATATTTAATTTTCCGCCTAAAAAAAGTTTAGAAATTCTTTTATAAATTTCGAAAATTCATTTCCCCCTTTTCCAGGTCGTGGCAGCACTTTGTTACTTGGCCGCCTTCACCGCATCCAGCTTAGACTACATGGAGCATCAAAGTATCGTCGAAGTAGGGTCCACGATCGACGGACTTAAGTTCAGCACTTGCAAACCGCTCAGGTAATATATCGACACGAAGGATACTAATACACAAAGTTCTGGGGACAAGATATATTAAATATTTAATATCTTACAGATGGGATCTCGTGACACAGGCTGTAGAAATGCTTATACTGGCAATCGGGATACATCTGAGCTATGCGAGCAGAAATGCGGACACTCAATTTCAGGTACGTTCGCTCATATTGATTTTAAAAACGCTTACGGATAAATTCAAAGGAATAAGTTCGTGTATGACGTCTGCCCTCGATGTAATATTTTGTGTTTTCTACGTCTGTATAAATATTTGAAAAGCGTTCTATAAGCAATATCAGAAGTAAACATGGGCACTATATGAATTTATGCAAGACGTATACGAGAATTTATTTGATGAAATTTTATAGATATTTATTTGGAGTGAGTTATTACTTTAAACTCTCTCAAAATTTATAAACAATCTAGCAATAAAATTTATTATTAACAACGCTTGGCTTTCTACAAAAAACTTTTATTTAATGCTTACAAGAAGAATATCTTTTATCTTAAGGTACATCTTTTACAGAGATTATACTGTATTATAACCTCGGCCTGGTATTTCGACAGAAATATTCATCAGCAGGATTGGAATGACTATTTATTTAATTCATCTCTTATAATATAGTTTTTTTTTTCAAGTTTGTTCATTATTTTTATTTATTTGAAAACTGAATAACGGTGCTCACAACCAAAAAACTAATCAAGAAAGAAAATACTTTTATTAGGGATTTTCAAACAATGCCGTTTATCTCCCGATAGCAACTTTGTAAAAACAAGGTGATGACTGGTTTACATCTTTTTACTTCTATTTTCAAATACAATTGGTAAAATATTCTATGCTATGCTTGTTTTCGAGCTACTGGTGAGGGATCTTTTTACCCACGGGCCTTTAAGCCCCCACTTTACCCTTTATGGTATCGTGCCTTAAGGCAAATGGCTGGAACTTTCCGTACCGTAAGTGAAAATTTTCGTTCGGAACCTAAAAAAAATTACACAAAATGTGTACACATTATTAAAATCTCTATAAATTATCTGATAATTTGATGTACATATGTCCTATTGACCGCCAAATGACATTTTCAACTTATTTTTATTGAGAGTCCATAACTTTTGGATCTGCCTTAACAAAAATTTAATCAGTTCAATTCATCTTGTCAATACAAGTAAAATGTTTTTTGAATAATTAAAATCGGAAGCTGCGTTCGCTTAAAGACTGCGTTACCGTTTTTGGCAATTTTTGCCCCGTATCTTCGGAACGGTTAGACCTGCCTTCGCCAAAAACTAATCAGCACTTCTCAATACGAATCGAATGTTTTTTGAATTATTCAAATCGGTTGATCGGTGTTCCCAAAATCGTCGAAAATTTGTATCCGCACACACACACTCATACATCCATTTTTTCTAAGGTATGCCAAGATGTTCAAAAACCTTTGTAACGTAAAGATATATAAAAATTTTCTTTTTCGATTTTTTGCGATTACTATAACTTCACCTACGGGAATTAATAAAATTATTTATATAAGCCAATTTAGCTAACGATGTTATATTTTAATAAATGATCTAGTAATAATTTCATCTTATATCAAATTGAAATATGACTTTTATAGGTTTAGTTCTAGTATGTGTTACTTTCAAATAATGATAATTGAAATATTTATATAGGTGTATCTGGCGATGATTTAATTATAAATTGCGAAAGTATTAAATAATAATAATAATGTATTACTATTATAATATATCAAAAATTCACTTTCACAGTTTCCTTTATTCAAGGGCGCCCATAAAAAAATAACGTGGGTATATTAACATCGCGTTACCTTCCCATGTGCGCGCAATAACCATAACGAGATTCTCGCAAGTGAAATAATACTTTGCCTTATTTGAGAACGACTCACATTTTCTTATTACTATGAAATCCTTAAAATACACATTGTCGTTCCCAAAAAAAATGTTAAAGGTGACGTGTCTCGCATAATGTAATGTTTGCTATATATACGCAAGTTAAATAGAAAATGCACCCCAGTGTGTTATTTATAATTGCTTGAGGGGATACAGAGCATCTTCAGAAGACGACACATTGTTTAATTATAAAATCGAGGTATATATATTAAGATTTAGATATTCTGAGTTTGTTGAATAAATTTTGAGAATATTCTGACGTTTTTGATATTTTTATAGATCATGTTCTAATTCTAATAAATAGTTCATTTTACTTCCAAAATACTTATCTTGTAATTTAGTTATATGGGCTTCAAAGTTTAAAAATGCTAGAAATAAAATTATTGTCTTAAAATTTCAGCAATTTTTTGCTTTAAATGAAAAGAAAAATTATATCAGATGGTTTGGAATGATTTCTGCTTGTCTGTGAAGCAATATTGAAAATAAATGATCCAATTTCTATCTGCTTTGTCAATTCAATATGCCTTTGTCCGACCATAATTTCTACTAAATCGCAGAACAATAAACAAATTTCAGCGTCTTTTTACTTCTTGTCAACTTTCTTTTATAAATTGTTTCAGATTTTTATTCGATTAATTAGAATACATATCTAAATTTCTTTTAATATTTACGAGTGTTACAAATTGAACTAACAGTTTATATTTTGCTACTAAACTATACTCGTTTTATAGACTACTCAATTTCAGTGGTATTTTTTGAGGCATGTAATTATTCTCTGATTTGCAACTTTTCTTTCATATGTTGTTTTAGATTTATATATGGTTAATCATAACAAATATCTACAAGTATATCTATAAGTATAAAAATTATAATAAATATATACGTTTCTACTAATATTTACGAATGTTAAAACCGATTTGTTTTTTGCGACCAAACTATCCTATTTTAATAAAATATGTTTATGTTTGAAGTTGTTTATTGAATTTCGTTTTTCATTTTGTTTGATTTCAATGCAATATGCCCTTGTTTGGCCGTAATGTCTGCAAAATAACAGTTGCAAAATAAGTTGCATCGACCGCATCATTTTACTTCTTTGCAATTTTGCTTTTATCTATGGTTGGTTATCGATTTTCAGTTCGAAATATAGATAGCAATATGTTTCCAAGTAAAAATAGCCTTTTCCCGGCATTGCTGCACCAATAAAAAGTCAGCCCTATCAGATTAATACTAATAACAAAAATCATCAAATATGGATGATCTATGGTTTCAGATTTATATATATTTAATAAAAATAAATATCTACATTTGATACATACTGATATTTATGAATGCTATAAGCAATTTTTTGGCGACTAAATTTCACTATTTTTGTGGACTACAGTATTCATCAATTATACGACCGCTGCTTAAATGTGATCAGTATATTGACAATGTTTGATACAATTTTCGTTCGCTTTCAATTCAAAATGCTTTTGTCTGGTCGTAATTTCTACAAAATTGCAGGACCGTAATAATTTTATAAATTCATACTGATACAAATGAAAATTACAAAACGTTACTATCGATTTGTAGAGACTACTGGGTTCATCATCTTCAATCGTTCAATTGGACATCGCAATAAAATGATCTCTACTTATCTCTGGAGCAATATATCGAAAATAATTGATCAAATTCTGATTTTTATCTGCCTTCAATTTAATCCCTCTTTGTGTCTGACCGCAATTTCCATAAAATCGCTAGACTGTTATAAATAAGTCGCATGGACCGCGCCAATTTTGCTCCTGTGAGATATCGCCTTTGTTTGGCGCGGGTCAACGGAGCAACAACTGGCTCTAGGCGAAACTTCTCCTGACAATAGGAATTTATGTCATCCCTTGCGGTGTATAAATACTATCAGAACGGGTATTAAATAAAAATTTATTGGTTTCACTATAGTACAATATAGATGGCAACTTGTGTTTTGCATCATAAGGATGTATATCATGTAATCATATATGCGTATAATATCCTCAAATTTTAATTGGTTTTTATCTAGTTAGCTATCTAACGTTCGGACATTGCATTTATAAAATCTTTAATTTTATTCAATTTGGTATATTCGTTTTTTGCACTCGTTCAGTAAAAGTAAAAATAAGTAAAATATAAAATAATAAATGGATTTAATACTAGTTAAAAGTATAACTATATGCTTAGTGGTACAATACTGCATTACTAGAATTTGCAAACAAACTTTACATAAGTTCCATAATTATCAAACCAAAAAGTTTGTTTGCAATATTTAAAATACATAGGTATCGCATATGCATTTCCCTGCGTTTTAGAACGAGCAGTTTGAATGCACTATTTTATTTTACATATACGTATGTATATCTACATATATATAAAAATAAGTCGTTTTTTTCTTCCTGACGATATAACTCCAGAATGCACGAACCGATTTAGACAATTTTGCATTCGTTGGAAAGGTCTCGGGCTCCGCAATGTTTATAACTAAGAAAATTAGTGATTCGGTGGTCTTCCGTTTGACTTCAAACGATTGCAATTTCCAGTTCGCCTTGCGTTCGCAATAACTAGTCGCAAGGCCAATCGCTTAGTGTTTGCAGGATAAATTTCAAATATATTATTTAGAAAATCATTGTTTCTCACATGGGCAGTTATACGTTGCCTGTTCACGAGTTGGTAAACCATCCGCTTTGTTTGTGTTAACGTCAGACCAAAAAACAAAAAACGTGGTTTACCAAAGAGCACTTCTATGAAACGAATAATTTGCGGATTCACTTTCATTTACTTAGAGAAGTTCAACTAAAAAACACTTAATTTTTGTAATCGAAATAAATTCATTACTGTTGTGTAATAAAATCAAATTTTACCTTTTTAATTTAAACATGAAATTTCCGATTGATCTATTTTAATATTTCTTCATATGTTTTCAATTGAATATAATTTCTATTTTATAAAATTAGTACTATTGATTCATTTCAAATTCACAAAAGTCTTACAAAAAAATCTTATATTAAAATTTTATTTAGAATAGGATACTATCAATAACACTGCATGAATTATTGAAATCTTAACTCAAATGTAAAATAAAAAATATTTTTATACATTAATATTTAACTTGCGTAATAATAAATTAAGATTAATATTTAATTTTAATATTAAATTAAGATGAATCTTCGTCTTACGTGAATTATATATTTAATTGCCCCTATGAAAAATAAGTGCAGAATCATTAAATAACTATTTGTTATGATATATTTAATATTTACATTTTTTTAAGTTATTGAAATTTAAATTTAAATTTAAAAATATTATAAAGATGTCTTGTAAAATTATTAGAAAAAGATTAAACAAGCAGGCTCTCAACATTTTATTTCTAAACAATTTCAATTCATATTATAAAGTAACTATAATATTATAAAACTACAAATATACTAATATAATATTATTTTACACATGCGTCTTCCATACTTGACTATAATTCACTAATTGCACCTTTAGTTAATTAATTTTTCTTTAGAATTCGTGTTAGAAAATGTTATAAAACCGTGTTCCTGAGATGTTTTCATTTTTGACTTGCCACAAGCTTTATAATTTAAAAAAAAAACATAATTCCTCATGTACGCTAAGGAAAACTTTTATAATATAACACATTATGTATTCTCGGAGTGTTCAAGCAGTAGCAGAGAAAATATAATTAAATAAAGTAAATTTTTCACGAGCATCTTTTTTTAACTTTACATACTTCACCTGATAGTATGAAATCGTTTAATCTCACTTAATTATTCCGAGGGTTAAAATTTCATTGCCATCTTGTATTAATAATTCACTGAAGTTTGATAACAGGCCATTGCCCCATTCATAAACTTGGAAGTTTTTGTTGAAAATATCTGAAGTGCCGATTTTGGGTGTTCATTTTGGGATGGCAATCGAGGCCCTCGTTCATACTAATAAAGCACAACTTTACTTTTTGTATTCGAAGTTACAAATTTCTGAAGGATAAGGTTGGATTTTCATGGCTTGAGACATATACAAAAATATTCACAATTTTTATGTAGAAATTTAAGATATATGAATCTTATGGAAAGTAATATATGAGTAGTTAATATATATAATTAGTTTATTAGCAGACTTTGAAAACATAAATGTAGCAATGAACATAAAATAAAAAGTAGATATCTATTACTTAGATTATTTGGCATCACTAAATTACACAAAATTATTTTGATTCTACTTTTTTATTTTTTATTTTCACATAAATAAACAAATAATAAAAGGAAAACATCAAAATACAATTAACGAAAAATAATAAATTTTAATAACTAATATCTGTTTATTGGATGCAAGTTGCATTGTATTAGGTAGGTTTTTCTCAAGAAAGTTTCTCATTGTCAGATTCAGACTATAATCATGTTTAGCTTGGCAGTTTATTGCAATAATCATTATTTAATTACACAAAATACAAGGAATACAATTTTCAATATTTAATAAAATGATCAGAAAAGCAAATTTACATCAAAGAATTGTAGTATAAAATTAATATCATTAATATAATCCGAATGAACAAAGTTTTATTTAAAAATCTTATAATATTGGGACCTTGAATTTACCCAACTAATGAATTTTGTGATTTATTGCCATTCTCGATTACTTTTCACATTTAAATTTATTTATCTTGCCTGGAAAACAAAAAATTAAATGTTTAAGTAATTTATTGCTAATTTTCATATATTGTACCCAAAGTTTTCATTGTTACATGGCCATTTTTTTAATTATTTATTGTATTGCGAGCTTTTTTGTGAATTGGTTAGAGCTCTGGGATCTTAATCAAAAATGCTAGATTTGACACCCGCCTTGAAAAGCTTGATGTCAAGCAGCAGTGGCATCTTTTTTTCGCTTGGAAGTATAGATAGTAATATAATTCCGACTGTCTTTTCTCGCATTAGAAAGAAATATCAATATTAAATAAATTTCAATAATGAATGCATCATATAGATATAGGGCAATGGCTTGAGTTGTCATCTATGAAAAACCACATCGTTTGAATTGAGCACATTAGCTCTTAGGACTCATTAAGTTCTGAGTGCTATTCAAATGATATTTAAAAAATTAAATTAAATTACAATCCGTTGGACTATGGAATTGAAATTCTGAAAAGTTACCAAGGAGTAACTAAAGATGCTTGCTAATGAGTAAGTTATTTCTACAATTTATATCGGTAAAATTTAAATCTGCAATCATATGAATCATCCATAGTTTCATACCACAGATCCACAAAATAAGAAAGATATTTTTACTACTGAACACAAATCTAAAGAACACGAAGTAGGGGGTCAAATGGCAAAAAAATTAAAAAATTAAAAAAAACGACAAAGTCTCCAATGTAGTCATTCTTCTGCATAATGATCAAAATATTATAATTTCTGTCGTTTTCTGGCCCTTTTTACCTTAATAAATTTTAATTAAATGACCTATCATGTATTTTTTGTATAATTAGCAGCAGTAATTTGCAAAAATATTTCCTTCTTATTGGCCCTGGGTAATCTGCAACCATGGTTGCAATTTGAATATTTGATAGTCTGTTGGCAAAATACTGCTGTTTTCTACAAAAAAAAACTTAATCATTTATGGAAATGCTCAATAGTCATTTAAGGTAGAAAGAGCAAAAAAAAGACAAAAATTATAAAATTTCAAGAATTATGCAATAGAGTTACGAGTACGGAAATTTTGTCTTTATTTTCAATTATTTGCATTTTTGTTTTGTTTTATTTTACATAGCAAACTATACACACAGTACATTAAGCTACTTAAATAGGTAAATTTGATTCGACAGAGTGTGAAGGATCACTATCTTGCTATAGCACCTTCCCAGATATTCTATGGTTGGATGTAGTAAATTATTGCAGTTTCTTCGTTTAAGGGGCACAACTAGTGTGAAATTTTTAAAAAATCGAATTTTCAATTTTTCCATATTTTGATAGGTTATACATATAAAAATAACATACCAAAATTTGAAACCGATATCCTAAATAGTTTTTGAGTTACAGCCATTTAAAGAGTATATATATAGTATATAGTATAACGATCATTTAATCTTTAAACGCGTTTTTTTCGAAACAGCATTTTCCGAATTTGCTGCAGCGATTATTCAAAAACAAATGATCTGATCACTATCAATTTTTTTTACATGTTCTATATATAGTTCTCCGTAAAATGAACTATAAATTTTTTGATCGAATCAAAAATCGAATTTTGACAATCCAAAAACGACCAAAATTTTGGGTAAAATTCGACTTTTTTTTAAAAAAACGCCGTCATTATGTCAATTTTTGATTTTTTTCTTTATCGTAGTTCATTTTACAGACAATATTATCTAGTTTAACAATTTTTTTTTTTAATTTCATCCACGTAGAAGGCCGGAATCACTGCAGCAGTGAAGGGCCTTTTTTTGTCGCGCCGTTGGAGATCGACGATAATTAAAAAAATATTTAATTTTTTTCTTCAAAATTTTTACTATGTATTTTTAAAACATCTATAAATATATTCCTAATTTTGAAATGATTGATAAAGTAGTTTTTTTAATATAAATTCCCAAAAATCACCTTTTTTTAGGCGGTTACACTAGTTGTGCCCTTTAAGTAGCTTTGGCGGTAAAGGCTCGGGCAGGTCACACGCTAGTTTATTTGAATGACGACTTAGACGAGTCTTGTATCTGGAGCAGAAATGATTGATTTCTTCTTCTACAGTTATAATTCTAAGATCTTGATGTATTTGCCATTTGACCCTCAATTTTGACTTTAGATTCGTGTAGAGCAGTAAAAACTACATTGGAAAACTTATGTCGCACACCCAATACTGACAACTTTTTTATATTTTGTAGCCATTCATAATTCTATCATTTATGCTAGTATGTCAGTTTGTTATGATTTTTCCCACATGTGGTGTAAAGTGTTAAATTTAATTAATAACCTTATCGTTATTACCTTTCCAGGAGCGTCAGTTTCTGTGCGCCGCGATCTGCGTCGAGACCGCGGTCTCGGGTAGCTTCTATCTCCTGCGTGATATATATTTCGAGATAGCAATGCTTCACCCCGACCTCGTGTTCCTGGCCCACTTCCTGCGCTCTCAGCTGACTTGCACGATAGTTTTGCTGCTGATTTTCATGCCCAAACTGGTTTTCCAGCGCAGACAGGTGAGGATAAAACGAGAGTCGGTATGTATAGCATGAATTTAAATTATAAGAAAACTAGTAGTGCATGGTATCGTGATTTAAGGCTAATTGCTGGAACTTTTCGTATTGTAAATTGAAGTTTTTAAATGATTTAAATGATGAGAATAGTATTTTTTTGAGAATTATGATTATTTTTTGAGCATTTTTAAAAAATTTGTGTAAAATTTGATGATTGAAAAAATTGGCAAATAATACTCTTTTGAAAAATAGTGATATTTTTTAAAAACTTAGAATTTTTTGAAATCTTGAAAATTTGCTGATATTTTTTGCCTTTTTTCTGAAAACTTTGAAATTTCTTGATAGTTCTTGATACCCATTCATATCGGTTGATACTGACTGTTAAAATCTGCTAATATCTCATTTTTGTCCGCCATATGGCTTTTTTATTTTTTTCTGGATCTCCGAAACCCCTAGACCTGCCTTGGCTAAAATTTAATAAATTCTTCATTACATCGATACAAGTGGAATGTTTTTTAAATTATTCAAATCACAATCTCATTTTTTTCTAAGGTATGCCAAAATGTTCAGAAACCTCTAAAACGTAAATATGCAAAAAAAAATATTTTCAATTTTTGGACTATTACTATAACTTACCATACCGAAAATTAACAAGGAATTATGAGAAACAAGTTTGATGTAGGTTTATAATTAAAAGAAATAACTGAAAGAAAAATATAATATTGTTGATCAACTTAAAATACGTTTACAGCTAAAAATCGTATGATAACACCTTTTGAGTATGTAAAATCAAACTCATTAAGTGAAAGTGAATACATGGTTATTTATATAAGTTTAACAATATTATTTTTAGTAAATCAGACAAAGTTAACTCAGTAAAAAATCCTGCATTTATTTATGATTTTAGTTTTCTGAAAAGGATGAGCATTTTGCTTCAGAAAAATGAAGGCACATACACACACACACACACACATATATATATATATATATATATATATATAATATATTAATTCACTCTTTTTTGCACTAATTTGTTAAATAATAATTTTACAAACGGTTTGAGACTAGGTTTGTCTCACCATTAGTGTGTTATAATTTTAAAATCTAAGTTGAAAAATTAACTGGGCCCTATTCCTTCTCTTTCCTATTTGATAATGCGTTACTTACCACTTGACCTTGAATAGAGAATTCAGAATCCGACAATCGTTAGTGGGGCAGTATAATGAACGACTTGTAACGGATAACACATAATGCTAATTTAGGTTTCCATATTTTAGATTTTAAAATTATAACGCACTGATTATGAGGTAAACCTAGTCAGGTGTTGATAGATAGATATTAATTTAGAAATAATATATATATATATATATATATATATATACACATATATACATGAGCTTTTAAGCAAACCAGAGCTTTGGTTTATCTGTGACTATTTTTCGGGTAATTTTAATCAATTTTATTCATTTAAACTTCGGATTCTAAAAATATGATTTACGGCTATGGACTCAAAGTTTAAATAAACAAAAATGAAAGAAATAATTCTTAAGTGTAGAATCGTTGAAACAGAAAAATATTGATATTAATCCATTTTTAATTCACGAAAAGTCAATATAACTATTTTCAAATAGTTGACGTATTCTTCATAAAAAAAGAATGAATAATCAATATTCTGTACTTATGAGCAAAATATAATAAATTTATTTGCAAAAACATTTAAGTATACCAGATATCCTACAAATCGAATACTATGCTATCAAAGTTTAATTACAAAGCTTAATTCAACGTTACAGGCAGTTTTGAAACTTGTGTACATTGTAATTGCATATATTGCGAATTCTAAATGTTTATATACATCTATATATATACTTTGCCCTGACTTCGTTAAAATACCTTTACCACTATTTACTTTACAAGTCAAATTCGGGAATATTCGATCTAATAATTATGACAATTAATAATGAGTAATCCTGATGATATATTCTGCAGTAATAATATCAATACCAATTGATAATCTATTAATTTACCAAATTAACGATCCGCACGATTCGATTCTGGAGATAATTTAATTTCGTGTGCCAGCATCATATTAAGTCTCGACTCAGGTTATTAATTCAGTAACAAGATCATGTAACAGAGAATTCTCTTTCTCGTCCATCTTCATCTTACTGTGTAATTAATATTAATATTTATAATGATGCATGTATGATAATTAACAAAACGTGTATAATAAGTAGTATTCTACGTAAAGTAATAATTATACCTTTTCCTGAAATATTTTATAAATATAATGGAGGAATTTGAACCTTGATGAGAGGTTAGTTTGGAATCTATATTATAACTTCAAAGTTATATTTTCACAAATTTTACTAAAATATTGGAAATATTGGAAATATTTTATTACATATATTTACAAAACGTGTATAATAAGTCATATTTATTGGATGCATCTTCGAGTTAAATATCCCATTCAGTATCCAAATATAATATTAGCTCATAGATATTTTATTAGTATATAAGTATTTTTAACTCTCAGTAATTAAAATTAAAAACCCGGACTCACGGAGCTTTAAGCTCGGCTCTACTCCATATTTATACCAATTTTTATATTTACATTTACTTTCTTATTCAGCTGTATAAAATGTTTTTAGTAAAAAATTAAGCTTTTTAATCAACTTTGACAAACCCAAAATTAAAATTTTCAACTATTTTTTTTCTCACTTGCTTCAGTGCAAATTTCATTTTACTATACATATATTTATTAAACGTTAATTATTAAATTTAAATAATTCCTATTATTTTCCTTATGGAACTGTGCACAATGTCACAAATAAATGAATATATTAGTTTTATAATGTTTTCAAAGCATTTGCAATTTGTATCAAATTTTTAATTAAAAAAAGTTTTATGCATGTTGAATGCGAAACTAAAACAAATAACATTTTGGATTAGCGTGATGTTTTATTCTTAATTGAATGTACATGTTATATATATATATATATATATATATATATAATTTGTGTATATGTAGATGTGTTTTCATGAGTTTATAAACCAGGAGAATTACGAACATTAGAGCATATTGTTTCTCTCTGATGTAACACATTTGTGACCTCATTCTTTCGCTTGAAGAATTTTCTATACTATATATAAGCTTATTTAAGCTTTTCTTTATGTTCTATGAAGAATTAATCTTCGTTACTTTTAAAATTACGCGGATCACATAATTAAGCAAATTAGTCTTCACGTCCATCTCTCTGAGATCAAGCATATTATGAAACGTGTGAATTTAGCAGGTGCCAAAACTTTTTTGTAAATATTATAACTTATTTTGATATTATTAATAATTTGCATAGTATTTCTACATATTTTAGTTACCAATATAAACGCATTTAATTTCTTATCTACCAAAATTTCAAAAAAATTGAATGTGAATATTGGTACCGGTATTGTTTTGTTAAACTGAAACACATTGAAACACTTTAAAATTCAGAAATCTGAATATTTTATTTTTAATTTTTCCATAAGAATTTATAACATATATATAAAATAAGTTAATTTTTACAAACAATAAATGCAGCAAAATACTAACGTTTTATAAATGAAGTAAGAATTCAGTTATTAATGTGATTGATACTTTACGTTAAATGTACTTTGAAATCATATCGAATTTTACTTTAAAATTTCTGTAATATAAACTAATAACACTCAGTATGTGTCTGATCTAAATATCTACAAAATTTGATTTTACAATATACTTTGTACTAGAAGGTAAACATCAAAAATATGTTTTCAATAAAAAAACTATTATTTCGGGCAATGTGGTGTGAAATGACAATGTTAAATGTTTCACACTATTTTTTCTCTGAATCGAGTTGGAGTTTAACTCAGCTCACGAATCTGTCCTAGGGGCAGTATTATTTAATGATAACAGTTTCTATGGTTTTTACTCATCTTAGTCTTTTTATTAAATTTGAACTATAATAACATATTTATTGAGGGAAAATGCAATTTATTACAAAAATCATTTTGTCCATTTTCTACAAACGATTTTAAAATAGCAGTTCATAAGTTTTTTTTTAAATTTTAACTTCATTCTCCATCTGTATATATAATTACGTTTAGCATAGAATGCTGACGAGTTGTTTACAATTCATTATTCACAAATTAGTAGATACCCCCAGTGGCGTATCTACTACAGCTACTATAATAAAAAAAAACTAAAAACAAAAGGGAAAAAACAATAAAATTTAGTAAAATGAAAGTATTATAGTTAATTAAATTATATTAAGCCTCAGGGTATTTTTCTTTTGAGCCTGGTCGGCTGGCTTTCCTGATATAAATGACATGCTAGTTGGTTAGGATGGACGTCAATTCTGTACCTATAATTAATGGCAACCATTGATATCAACCAATATTGATATCATTGATAGCATCCAAATGTTCTTGAATTGTAGGTATGCCTGTGTCTTTGTGTTCATGAGTAAGTCGTTTGTTATTTTTGTGATATCAGCACATCATAAAGCATGAGCCCAAAAGGAACAAGTCAAGCTCAGGTGGAAAAAGGGGATTTCTCAATAAATGCTAGTCTCTACTTTTCACCGATGCATGATAATAATAATCATTATTATTACTGTGGTTTACATATGTATTTTTTTTATTCTCTATTTTATCTACAACTGCAGTTAAGAACATTTAGTAAATTTGGGGAAGTTAAAATTGTCAGCCGTAAAGGGTCGTTATATACTATATTGACATGGTGGAAAAACAACTCAATAGTTGTTTTAATATTGACGATATTATATATATATATATATATATATATATATAATATATATATATGTTTAGTTAAACATTGTATTTTTTCAGCAACGTAAAGAGACCTCGTGCCGGCACTCGAACGCATTTAAAACGCCCAGCGAGATGTACGACTCCGACGCCGGCGAAGTGAGCACCACCGATATGAATCCGGACGACATCCGCGCGGAATTCAGAAGGTAAGAACCAGGCTCCACATATCTCTTCCCTTTGAATTCCTCAAAAAACATCTTAAGATCTCGATTTATCTCGCTTATATATAAACTCGCTTCGAATGTTCGATAAGCCGGAATAAACTACAAAAGCATCAACGATAAAAAACGAGAATTATTTCGATGCGCGCACTTTCGAGACGATTGTAAAATGAGAAATGAATTCCTGTATATACTATATGTATACATAAAACGTATCTTAAATTCCTAGCGTGAGTTATGGATATGCCGCAAAACTTTAGAAGTTTGTTGAAAATCTGCAAGTGCGAGAAACTATATAAATCAAGTCCATAGTGTTATATGGTTTCGAAAAAACAGATTTATCAAATGTTTTGTCGATTTACATGCATAGCGCATTGCAGGAAATGAAATTATCATATCACATTATAATTTTGTCATTTTGCGAACGTGTATTTATAAGGGAGATTTAAACACATTAAATTTTTGAATTATAAAATAATTATTTTGATTTCAATTATTATTATATATAATGACATAGTAAATATACAATGCATTTTAAAATTAATCTTTCAATTATGAAATTGATTCCATTTTATATTTTTAGATCGGAATATTTAACATTTTTTCAAAACTGTGTTTATATTAATTTTATAACGCGATGGTTTTTTTTTTTTGTTAATGCACAAAAAGTTAATATAAAACGAATTGAGCAAAAAATAGGCTTTTAATGATATATAACTTAAATGCAGTTTTATTGCTATTATTCATGCAATAATTCCTTTGTAACTTTTAGAAATCAGTACTAGAATTTCAACATAGATTTTGCACGATTTGCTTGGTAAAATATGAAATATTTATTATTTTCAACAAAAAGGAAGTTGAAAATGACAGAAATATAGAAATTGATATCTGTGTCATGTTTTTCATGAAATGTATATACACATAAATGTATTTTATTTTAAATTATTCTTATTTTTTGCAATAGGTGATCACATCAAATAAATTTAGAAATACCAAGACAAAAAATAGTATCTGCTCATCATTAGACTTGAAATAGATACATCCACATATATGTTCCATTTGGAATTTATTGTTAGTTTCAGCAAAAAATCTTCAAATAAAAAAGCAGTGTTAAAAAAAACAATAGAGATAAACTACTATCTCTGTTTGATTGTTATTCGACTCGAAATAGATACACACATAAATAAGCTTTTAATAAATACCTACTATTTTTGCAATAAATGATTAAATAAATGTAGATCTTAAAAAATATCAAGATAAACTAACTATCTGTTTGATTATTACTTGAAATAGGTACACGTATTAATAAACTTTACATAAGTATTTTCTATTTTCTATTTATTTTTAGTTTTAGCAAAAAGTGAGCAAATAGAAATAAGCTGCTTGGAAAATATCCAGACAGAAATGATTATCTGTTTAATTTTTGCTCCACTTTCAAAAGATACGCAAAAATATATTTTCATTTTCATTTTATCCTTTTAAAATGACCAAGTAGCGTTAAAAATATTGAAACTCTACTACTCTCTATTTAGTTATCAATTTATACGTAGTTTTACCAAAATATTTATACTAGCAAAAAAAAGTGAAAACATCCTACCAAAAAATATTTGGTTAATTATTAATTGTCTTGAAATTTATCATCACATATAAGTGTTCGATTCTAAATTTATTATCAGTTTTAGCAAAAAATGTTCCAATAAAAAGTAGGTACAACAATTTCAAAACTTATACTATTATGTGTTTAATTATTTCTTGACTCAAAATAGATATTCATTATTTTGAGTCAAGAAATAAATAAACAGATAAGAGTACTCGTATAAGTTTTGAATTGTTGTTACCTACTTTTCATTGGAATTGTACATACAAATACATTTCTCTAGATACAATTAAAATATATATGTTTTTTTATATATAGAAAATGGAAGAAAAATAAAGGTTGCCTAGTGGCATACACTCGTTTAGGGTTTGTCGGTTTTTCAAAACATATTTCATAGATTTTACCGGGTTTTCCGTTAAAAGATATAAAATTTCAAAAACCTGTTTTAATTAAAAAAATCGATTT